TTCTTTTAAAAAATATTTGTTTTTTTAACATTTTAAAATTTTGATTATTGTTTAATAAACAATTATATCAAATGGCAAAAATTTGATTATGACAAAAATTTGAATATAGCTGTCATATAAATAGAAAGTTGAACTACAGGTTCTTCTATTTGTCACTATATTTTGTTCAAATTACGTATTCAAAAATCTATTATTATCTATAATTAAAAATAAAAATTTAAATATAACTGCAACACAATATATTGTTTTAGATCAAAGCATTTCAATGACTTACATTTAAGCTTTCATCAATGCATTCATAAGATATTAATTGTTGAACATTTATTGGCATATAAATTTATTGGAAGTTATTGTTATTTTGCAATGACTTAACTAAAACAAAGAATTTGAATCTAATAAGGCCTTAGAGTTACATTAAGATTGTGGGAAATTGTAAGCCCCATGAGTTAGTCAGGCACGACATTACTTATTTTGAAAATACAACTAAAGTAGGGACAGGAATCTCTATATCCACTTTTAAACCGCTTATAAAACATTATAAACTTAGAATAGCATAAACCAATTGGCAGCAGGAACACGTCTGCCACATATCAATGCAACTTTAGCTAATACAAATGTATCTAAATTCCTTTATAATTTAGGTTTAAGGTTTTCAATTTTAAATAATACTGATAATACTGAATACTGATTATATAGGACGACATATGTAAACAAATATAACATTTAGACATAACATATGAAATATATAAAAAATGAAATTTTTTAAAAAAATTTCAAGCACACAGATATAGTATTATTAATTAATAATAATTATGTAAAGTATTTTTAAAAGTAAGGCATACTAAACAAGCATTAATAATAATTCTAAAATTAAATTTTTTATATATGTATATAAAATGTATATTATATGCAACTTAATTATATACAAAAAATTGCCATTACCCGTTCCCGCAAGCGGTTAAGAATACAAAATATATTTACATATAATATAAAATATATTGTAATAAATTAATAAATTATATTACGAAATAATTTAAAAATTTGATGATATATATGACATGATTTAGAATCGATAAGACTTGACGATTTAAGTATAACAAACGTTTTAGAAAGTGAATAATAACAAATTTGTCTATATAGCACGAAATACTATAAAAAGTTGAAGATAACGAATAAGATACATATAGTAATGTATTGAAGAATATTTAGAAACACTTCTTCCTAATAAAAACAAATAGTTTAAATAAATTTTGCATATTGATATATATGATATATATACATTATATGTATATTGTATATGATATTGATATGATATGCTTATCATCGATTTTATAAGGAAGATTTATTAGAAGAATTTGTTTCATCTTTTCAATTTTAAAATATTGTTTTATTTTTGTTGAACTCTCCATATGTGAAAATTTATAAATTAAATTAAACCCTTTTTTTTAATTAAACCCTAAATAATCTGCTAAATTTGATTTGTAATAGTTTTGTTAATTTTTAACATTTTTAATAAATTCAATTTACTGTACATAATCACAAAGTAATCACAAAAAGAATTGACACAATTTAGATATCCTTCAAGGAGTTTATGTATCTGAAAGTAAGTGAAGAAAAATTCAATAGTCCTATTTATGAGAGAGTATACTGAGCTTTAACTATGATCCTTATATCATAGGTATAAGATAGATATCCTTCAAGAAATTTATGTATATTAAAGTAAGTGAGGAAAACTTGAATAGTCCTATTTATGAGAGTATATACTGAGCTTTAGCTATGATCCCTATATGTATACTGTAGTATGATTAAATTATTATTAAACTATATAAAGCTAAATGCTTTTAAATTTATATATATTTTCTGGAGATATATTTATATCTCCAATACTCCCTGTAATATCTCTTTGTCATACACGAATCGAAAATAGAAATTTATTGCAATGGCAATATTCAATTGTATTAGAGATAATAATTGAAATATTATAAAAATTGCAAATCATATATATAAAGTCTTAACATTGAGATATAAAAAAAACAATTCATTAACGGAAAAGGTTTTTTATCCTTTCTATATTTTACATTGAAGAAAATATATGGATTTTTTAGGTTCTAAGTTATTATATATTAACAATATTAATAAATAGAGTCAATTCATTATATGATGTAATGGATTTAAAAAAGCGAAGAAAATCGTATTAAGCAAATAACAGTGCTCAAAATTTAAATATTGTGCTTTAGAAAAAAAGCATTTAGAAAAAAGAGATTAAGTTAAGAAAAGTTAAGAAAACTTAATGAAAAAAAATAATTTTTAAAAGAAAATTAAACTCTCAGTAATTTTACCCTAAATTTCCACTGGGAGTACGTAATTGGCAATTTCTTATCTTTACTAGTATTTGTGCTATTTTGTATTAGACGTCTAGAGACCTCATCGGTAGCCATGTGTGGTGTACTACCAATCACACCGCGTCCATTTTGTAATGCCAAAATTTGTGCAGCAATAGCAGCATCAGTATAATCGCCAGCAGCTGCAGCAGTACTATTACCGAAACCATTATTGTAATGTTCTAATGCAGATGAATGACGATAATTTGGACTACTCCATGTTGATCTGGCAGTGGTACCTCTACCATTTTCCAAACGTAAGCTACCCCGTTTCGAAGGAGTATCTTCACTTATTAAATCCACAGCAGAATGATAGATTGTGTTACGCGATTGTGATAGTGATTTACGATGTGCAGCTGCAGCTGCTGCTGCCTCCGAATCCGCCAATGATATAGTATCAAAATAGAGACTCTCACGATCATCCATTTCAGATTCAGGATAATCGTAGTCGTATGTACGGACTGTTAAAAAATAAAATTGTAAAATTGTATTAGTAAATTGTTTTAATTGTATGTTGAGCTGAAAAAATAAAAATTATTAAGCATTGGTGCATTGCCTTAAAAACATTGAATAAGAAAAAAACCAGTGAGACAAAAATTATTTAGATTCTTTTTTGTTTTGAAATGTTTTCATGCATGAGTGCTTTTACGAGTTCAAATTGACATATATGTATTTAGTATATATAAAGAACTATGTACACCAATGAAAACAAAAAATACCAATGAACGACCACCTGTTAGTGATAAGTTTATCATTGTAGCTCACTTTTGAAATAGTAGCTCACTTATCCAACGAATTTTTATATCATATCTAAAATAAAAATGTGCTGCAAAAACAATAACAATGATAACAAAATTACCAAAGCTTTTCCAAAACTCCCAGGTTAAATTGTATATAAAACAGTTCTATATGTAAAAACTGCGGTGTTTGCTTAGTTTCTAAATTATTCCACAAACTTATACTACATTTAAGGTAACGAAGCGTTGCGACATTTCCATTTATATATTTCCCATCGAGAAATTTATATTTAAATTGAAACTTAAGTATTGTGTATAGTAAATTATATTTAAGTAAATTATAATATATAATTCGAAAACAATATAGGAACTAAAAGATTATATTATATATTATAAATATTTACTACATACTACTATGATTTATATAAACATATATAAATTAAATATATATTTAAATTTGTTAGAATATTCATTTATAAACTTTTGAGTTTTTTATTACCTTCAAATTTGAAAAATAAAATGAAAATATTTAAAATATACAAATTAAGGTTTACAACCAATAAAGTACGCTAATATTTGTGCCAGATTCATGGGTCAAAAGGATATAGATACTTGGAGTAACCCACTCAGATTACGGCTAAATATTGGTACTTCTAAGAAGTCAAATAAGAACTAATAAGTTATAGTTAACTGTTATAGTAATATATGTCTCTTCAACATCAACCCGGTTTTATCACAAAGAACTCATATATGAACAGAGCAAAATACATTCAATATATATAACACTAATTATAAAATCCACAAGACATAACAGAGAGTTTTGGACTAAATAACCAATATCTTAAGGAAAGGTTGTTCAATGCAAGGCAGTTGTATATCGCATACTTTAACAATTAGATAGCATTAAACTATCACAATACGCAAAAGCAATATGGTTATCAAGCGGTGCCAAACAACTCCACACAATTTAGTGGAACCTATATAGCTACCTCACATATTTTACATAGTTAACCTAAATGTTTGGGCTGATTTGATTTAGCAAATAATTGCATTCAATATCCGTTCAAGAATTATAGAAAGCTCATCTGATCTGAAAGGATACAACTTATAAAATCTAGACTTAATTTTTTTTTAGTATAACGATAATTAAAATTTGTCAAATTCTGCTAAGAAACGAAAAATCATTACTGCTATGAAACGAAAATAGGTGAAGCATTATAGCAAAGTATAGTAGTTGAAAACACTTTCTCGAATTTAAATTGCCCTACCCTACGATGAATTGCTTTAATTGGTGATAACGTGGGGATTTTCAGATACAAATTATGGTGGAGTTGTTGTTTAATTTCGTAAGCTGACTCAGATATACTAAACATTGGTTTATTACCCTATCGACTTCGATATTATGCAGTTAATATAAAAAGTATCCGTAACTTATATTCGTTTACTCCGATACATATATTCACACAAAAGATACCATCATTATTTTGTTTTGTGTAAGCTTGTAGCACTTTACTTATTACTTTGCGATCTGTGACGAATCATAATTATTTAAATTTTATCGTTAGCTTAAATTAAACGTTGTGTATGAGTTTTAAAAAAATATACTCAACGAATATGATTACTAAAACATAGTATTAATCGCAAAAACCACACTTTTATCAAACTTTTCTCTGTTACGGATGCTAAAATTACCGCTTCAAGAGAAACGTTTCGAATCAAACTGAAATTATATAGAAATATTTAACTTTATATAAACAGAAATTAAAGGTCACGAAAAGTATATAAGAGATGAGATCTAATGCTAGTTTATTGGTATTGTACTTAACGGACTGACTTTGAAATTCATAAAATTAAGGTAGACGTTGATAGAGGATCAAATATATAGAGGATTGTGTCTAGAGCTAGCATATGGGTAGCTTACAATGTACACAAAAAATATTGATTGATTGATTGATGATCCTTTCGTGTTTCATTTAATAATTCTAGATTTTTTTCGTTGGCTACCTGTTGATGGATCAATTGATATTTCAAATACGAAAATGAACTTCCATGAATTATCAATTGGAAATATTAACGTAGAAGCAAGCACTACGATAATAAGAATTATTGTGCAACAGTTAAAAATAAATAGAAATATCACGAAAATTATTTTTAATTTTGTAGTTTTCAAAATTCTACTATGTTAGATATAGAAAGGTAGCAAAGGTGGTTCACCATTTTCATTTAGTTAAAAATTCTCTTTAGAGTCCACATTTTTATATTCTTCGTAAATCTAAGAAGGGGATTGGGCATTGTACAACCCCCAATGTAGACATTATTAAGTACAAATATTTCACTGATTCATTGATAGGAATAAGAATAAACGGGGTACCAGCTCCTAATGGAGCGGAGCACTGCGACTATGGTTGATTCTATACATAAAATGACACATTGAAAAGTATAGAAAAGTAACAGTTCAAAGTAATAAAACTTTTGGAAATAACATTGTATCGATGATTGAATTTGTCTAAATGATAATGACTAATGAATAAACTAAAAGATAGCAGTAATCAGTACATACTTTTCGTTTAAAATTTTTAAAAATATGTGTTAGGTATAGACATCAAAAATAATTAAAAAACTTTGGGAGGAAGAACTATTTCGCAAATTTATTTTTAAACATATTTGTAGAGTTTTCTATAGGTATAATAAAAATATATAATGCTAAATTTAAAAGAAATTTTTTATCCAACTAGTTTATTATCCAACTAGAATTTGCATATGTTCTATAAAGGCATTATCATAATAGCCATAGTTTTTTTTATAATCAAAACCTACTATATATTATATAATTTTAACAAATAAAAAAAATAATAAATCTGTATAAGTTACCTTATAACAGGGCATAAATTAGGCATTTGAATTGCCATAAATGGGCTACGTATATTTAAAGCTCGCATTTTAATTCCACTTGACAAGAGACAATGTCGCGCATATTGTTTCCATACGTTGAATGCAATGATATTTTAAAGCATTTGATGATGATGATGATGTTGATGATGATGATGATGATAACGATGATAGTAATATTTAATGATAATGATGATGCTGATTTCTAAAAATGAGGTAACAAGTGCTCATATATGGAAATGTGTGCAATATATTATATAGCAATAGTTAAATAAAGAAAATTATATATAATAACAACACATATACACACATACAATTTATACATATATACATTAAAGAAAATAAGTATTATATTTTATAAAATTATTTGGAAAATTATGTGAATATGTTAATATAAATTTAAAGACATTTTAAAAATACAAATGGAAAAAGCAATCCGAAATTCAAATATTATTACTGTGCAAATAATAAGGACCGTTCATAATGTACAGTACTGATAAAAAATCTTAAAAGTTTTTATATAAAACTTGTTTATGCAATATTTAAATATTTAAAAAATTGATTAGAAAACAATTAAAAGAGATATTAGAGACATGTTTCAAATAATTGAGATATTACGTTAATAAATCATTAAGGTTTGAAAAATTTATTTTCTATATTATATTCTACATTATAACCGGTCTTTCATTATACAATATAAATTACTTTAAAATTTGCATTACTAAACAAAAATAGCACAAAAACTTGAAGAAATTTTCGTTAACAAAGTTTAATGAAATTAAAATATAATGAAAAGAAACAGAAACAGAAACGTGCTTTTATTTCATTTTGAATAAATTAGCTATTTTTTTAATTACCAGCAGAATACATTTCGGTGAAAGGTAGAAGAATGTAAAAGTTGTGATATCCAAAATATAGCGTAGTTTATGTCTTCAAGAAATCCAACTTGAAGATTTTGTTTAGAAAAACTTGATCTCATTAATTATTTCATAAAAAGCCAAAACATTTTCTTTATAAGTTTCCAAATTATCGTACTTTTATAGTTCGAGTAGTACGATATAAAGAAGAGTACATTTTGGGGGTCACAGTGTCAGCATAGAACGCGGTCTGCTTGCAACAACGGAAACCGGATTGCAAGAGTACGTCATAGCGGTAAAATAGGAACGTCGCGCAGTTTTCGTTTAAAATACTAAAATTAAATTCAATTAATCCAAAAATTGAAATATAAACAGAAAAAATTCCGAATTTATAAATTTTTTATATATATTAAAACAATTTTATTTTTATTCGATTATATTGCATATAAAACAATTTTTAATTTAATAGCAACAGATGGTACCGTGTTGCGCTAGAACCGTAATGTGGCGTTTATACGGATGGCGTCAGCTGAGACTTTACTTATAAAAGAACTCTGAAGAGAGCATGGGAAAAAAATGCGTTCGCGTTCGTTGTTATCTTGTAACTAAAATCGTTTCGATTTCAGTTTGCTTTCTGAGTGTTTTCAAGTGTCTGTGGCATACGTTATTAAAATTTTTATTTTGTTAATAAAAACATTTCACTCTTGTACCCAGCACGCTTTGAATTGATCAGTGTGCCAATGTCGGAGCGGCTACCCTCGCACATAAACCGCATATTCTCTGCGCTATTTATTTAACGCTTTGGAGAACAAATTAACACAAACGAACGTTTCTAGTTCTTCAATTGTTGTGCTTGCGGTTGCGGCTGTATCTGTTGACTATAATTTTATAATTAAACTTATCAGATTCGAGTAGAAGAACACAATACAAGAATCTTTCTAATCGTTTCAGTATTTAGTTTTTATTTGAAGTGTCTTTGTTGTTTGTCATGAAAGCATTACTACATTTAATGGAAATATTTATTTAATTATTTTCCGGCTTAATAAGAAATCAGAGCAAACAAGAAATATACATTGATGTAAATTGCTACATATATATGATTCGCATAAAACCGGCTTTTCGAATTAGCAAAATTATAGGTCATTACAAAAGTTCAAGGTTCTTGTTTCCGATTATTTAGTAAAAACTAACAAGAAACTTTTAAAAGATAGCTTATGATCATGATCACTAAAAACGTTGTAGTACACTAGATTGCCTATAAAAGGATAACTTCTTATTAAAACTGTTAGAAGTATCAACTATATATATTATAATTATTATTATTTCCTTGGTGTTTTTACAATGTATTTATTATTATTATTATAATGTATTTATTATTATTACTACAATGTATTTATGCTCTTAGTATGAGCATAGGTCGGAAACTGTATTTAATAGTAGAGAATTAAATAGTAATGAACGTAATATCTACGTTATTTTAAAATAAAGTAAAAATAGAAATAGTTTCTATTT